AGAGTACTTAATCTCCTTGATGAAGCTGACGTCAAGCAGCTTCTCGTCTTCTTTCATAGAATTTCTATTCTCTTCTCCTCCTTTTTGTTTCTTATGTGATATTATTTTCGTATCAAGGTCGAACGCCAAATGGTGTCACATGAAGTTTGGATCTATCCTGGGAATATCAGAAGGTTTCCAGGCGAACAGATCAACATTCTCTTTTAATATTGTCACAATCTCTTCTTCCTCCTCCAAGGATAGATTGGTACCAATGTTTGTTATCTCAGAAGGCATGATGCTGATCTGGACTTTTTTGGTTTCCTCATGAGGAGATAAACTATCCTTTGGTTGTCATCATGTGGGTCTATGTCGATCTGGACTTTGATATCGTTTTAAGGTCTGGCTTCCCTAGGTTGAATCCTCTTTTTAGCTTCAGACTGTCCTTGTAACATTTTCTCGCGAGCCCTTGATCGCCTTTAACCACCCTAACCCGGCCTTCTCCCAAAGGGTACTTCATGGTGAGGTATAGGGTGGAAAGGGTAGCTTCCAGAGAATTAAAAGATGGTCTCCCTTGGATGATTTTATAAGGAGAAACAACATTGATAATTAGGTACCTTACCTTGACTGCTTTTACGTTCGTGCCACTTCCGAAGGTAGTTAGCATTGGTAGGTGTCCCAGAACTTGCACTTGTTCTCCGAAGAATCTGACCAAGGTGCCTTGATGGGTAAAAACTCAGACGTATCATACTTCATTCCCATGTAGGCGTCCTAGTAGAGTACGTCGGCTGAGCTCCTAGGATCTAACAGCACCCTTTTTACACTCCAATCTCGGATTTGTACCTTAATAACCATCAAATCATTTTTGTGAGCCAAAATTCACACGGCATCCCGCTTGGAGAAACTGATAGGATTTAAGACTTGCTCCTGAGCCTTGACTATCTCTTCGGACACGTGCATCACGGCCCGATCATACCTCTTCCTGGTCGAGCTTGTTTCTCTGCCACCGGTGAATCAACCGGTGATGGTGTCGAGCTTATGGTGAGCCGCCTTTGTTTCATGTACTTCCTTAGTACCCTTCCAATTTTTATGGGAGGGTCCTTTTGAATTTGCATCATCTCTTTGAGGGTCAATTTTCTCGGATTGTTCTCTAGCATCTTTCACATAGGTTAAGAGATGTTATCTCTGTATCAACGCCTCAATTTATTTTTTCAATTGGTGACAGTCATCGGTGTGGTGTCTCCAGAGCCGATGATAACTACACCAAGCCCCGACATCTTTTCCCATTATGGAGTTCACTCTCTTTGGATGGGGTACTTCCGAGATTAGGTTCAGATGGCCTACTTCTTGTAGGATATCACCTCTCCAAGTGTTCCGTGGTGTTAGGCCCTCGTTTGGCTTGAGAGGTCGTCGGCTCGGCCATTGAGTAATTCGTTCTTGTGGTCGGTCTTTTGGAGTAAGCTGAGAAGACTCTTGTCTTCACCCTGATCCTTCCTCTTTTTTAGTTCTCTTGATGGTGTCTCTATATTGCTTCTCCCGGTTACTTTCTTCACCTTTTATGTTGCACTCGACTCTGGTGATTATCTTATCCATGTTGGATGTTGGCTTTAGTGCTATGGATTCATTGAACTTCCCGGCTCGGAGAATGTGCTGGATTTCCCCAACAAACAATTCTTGATTGGGGTGGGAGACTTTAATGGTTTATTCTTTGAACCTATCCAGGTACTCCTGCAAAGGTTTTGACTGTCCTTACTGGACATTGAATAATGTAGTTGTCGAGACCTTCCAGTGTTTGTTGGTTGAGAAATGTTGTACTAGTTTCTTTATTAGGTCTGAGTAGATTTCCACGGATAACCGAAGAAGGATCATGTAGCACCTTATATCTACGTCTTTGAAGGTTCCCACCATAAGCTTACACTTCAACGAATATGTAGGGCCTATTATTTTCATCTGATTATTGATGGTGATAACATGCTCTCGTGGATCAGTTTTGTCATTGTAAGATGTGAGCGATGGTGATTTGAAGTTCTCTGGTACTTGGTCATCCCATATGGCTTGAGAAATTGGTTGTGGATATAAAAGCTCCTCTTCTAGGTATTTGTACCCTTTAATTTTTAGTTGTAGGTCTGCTACACTATCTTACAAAGTTTCATATTTTTGCCTGAGGGCCTCCACCATGGCTAGTAGTTGCGCCATGTCTGGGGGATCTCGTCAATTGACATTTTATTGAATATGGTTTGAGGTGTGGCCTAGGACAGTTTTACCGAGGCCCCACGGTGGGCGCCAAATGTTCTTGGGTAAAAACAATAAATGAGTAGCTTCCCTATAGGTATAGGGAGAACCACAATGGATATATTTCTATAGACTAGTTAGGGGATTTGGGAGCTAAGGCAATGATGTGTATTGTCCCAAGATAAATGTCTTGCTTATCCCTCTGTCGAGAGCCCCTATTTATAGTCTTTCTTTTGCGCCATTAAGAGCCCTAATCAAGGGGTGACTCTTGGACTTCATAATTGCATAGCTGCCGTTGTCACCATGAATGAAGGCGTTCAAAGCTATGTAACGCTGGGTTTAATGCATTTGACAATCGTTACAGCCTTTATTGCACCGGGTTGCTAGTCGACTATGAGTAAATGGAATCTAGTTACATACCATATCTGGGATGGTAGCGTAGATGGGCTCCTACCCGGATATGATGACAGCCATTTTCGACCCTTCAGTCGGGTTACTCCTCGACTCGGGTATTATTTGTTCTTGCATATTTAGACATTCACTTTGTTCTCTTTCTAGACGACTTCATAACCCATTCATACTAATATTTCTGGGATGTACAATTCTAAAATAAAATAATTGTCTTCAAACGGTCCCCTTTTCAAGTATCAACATGTTTCCCTTCTACATGCCTTCAATCTCCCATTCGCTTCCATGCATCTTTCGCTAATAGATAAGATCGGAAAAAATTGTTAGTTTGAATTTCAAATCTTTTATCCCATTTGATCGAAATAACATTCACAACCCATGACTTTCCATCGAACCTTGCCTCGTGATATGTAGTTGAACATAAACCTTTAATTATTTTTTAGGCTTGTGTCAAAAATATACATCTTTTCGACACACACCATGTTTATCGAACATAGCATCATACATTCCCTTTTAAGTACTTGTTTACTGGTACCAAAAAATGAAATATTTAGCTAATAGAAACCCATGACAACATTCTATCTAAGGTATCCGAGTGTCTCTCCTTCAAAGCCTTCCCTACCAAAAAGCATCTCATAAGTTGGACCTTTGGTAAATATGACAATATATAGGGAGACATGGCATAAATCATCTGATACTCTCCTGAGAAGTCCCTAGAAAAAGAAAAATAATGATCAACAAAAATGTGGAATCAAAGGTTAGGTTGCTCCACAAAGAAGGCTCAGTAGGAGTTGGACCATTCTCCATTCTCTCTGCCCTAGGTTGCGCCCCTTGACTTGTTGACAGTGCGAATGGACCATCCTCTCTCCGGAAAACATTGGAAGGATTAACCTCCACCACCCATGAAGATTCACCTTAATATTCCCCCGAAACGACCGAGGGGCTGCTAGGAAAAGATTGCATTTCCTGCTACTCAGTTGTCTACATTTTCACCAAGCGGTCTCGCCTCTCATCAAGAGACACCGCCATTATTTCGACTACATATAAAAAACCGATTAGAGCATGCCCACATAAGGGGAACGACAATCAAAATATAGGTATATTTACTCTTACCTTAGTACTCCTTCACTCCATTTATGTTTTCATGGTCCCGAGTGTAATACCCCAAATTTGTCCTACCCTTTTACTTCCCGTCTGGCTTACGCACTTTTGCATTTTTTTCACATTTGGTCATCTAACACATCATGCATAATTAATCAATAAATTGGCATAAGATCATGGATTTCGAGGAATAAGGGTTGGTGTATGGCTTTTTCTCTAACACTGTGGACTTCTTTTAGTGATACAATTTTTGGGTCTCATCAAATACTTGCCGCTTCAATTGTGAGTCATCCCAAGGCTATCTCGAAAGGCTGCAAGCTTAAGCAGTGAGGAACATCGTCTTATACTTATCACCTCCACATAAATGATGATTTATTTCCATGATCGTATAAATTTCAAAGGGGTTCTATAATTACTTAAAGTGCAAATGGTTGAAGATTTTGATATATCCATGGCCATTAAGATCTTGTTCAAGGATGCTTCAATATGTCATACAAAAAGGTTATCATATAAGAAAATCGTATCTTTTACGAGTTAATATTTCAAATGGTCCTTTCTTCATCAAATGAGGTTTAGCTATTCCTTGTATGTTCACGAGCTCTAGGCAAGAGAAGAAGATTCAATAGGATACTATTTGCAAATTGGAAGTTTGTACACTTTATGATGCAAAGCTCTTCGTCGGGTCTATTCGCTTACTTGTATGCTTTGGGGGACTTCATTTCAAAATACATTAAAATCAAAATCTTAAGCTTCTTCAATTATGGTTTTGAAGTGAGGAATAAGAAAGATGCAAGGCTCGTTCATTTGAAGGTGTTTAGGCATATTTTCATTCAAAAGCAAAGAAACTCGACGTTACAAGTTCGTCCTTGGAAAAGACTCTTATTAAATTCATATCACAACCATGGAGTTATATGCAATATAAAATTAAAAGATCTTGGAGATACAAAAGGCAATTTGGAGGAGAAGACTAGTTGGAATATTTGGGCTTCATCATTAAAATTCAAGGGTTCACATTCATTCAATGATATAATATTTACAAGTTCTAAAGCATTACTCGTGATTTGTCAAAGGGTTATCCAAATTCATTCTCGATTCATTCGAGGTCATAACCATGCAATTTACAAGCGGTATCATTAGAACATTACAAGAGAAGATTTCAAAAAGGCGTTTACATCCAAAATTACTAAATCAAAAAACAAGAAATTACATTAAATATTCAAGTGGTCTAAAGCTAAAGAATTCTAAATCAAGGTCTCCATCAGTTCTAAACTTATTTATCTTCAAGCCACTATCTTCCAAGATTGCCCCGTTCCAACCTGGTTATGTCCAAGCCTCAGTCCATGTTTCATACCAAAAGAAAACCTGCATAAACAACTATTTTTCCAAGCCAGTTCAGTACCAGTATGTAATCAAGTTAATTTAATTTAAAATATAAAAATCAACAATTACACCAAGTATTATGTGCTTAAAACAAACCGACACAGTTTTAGAAAAATACTCATCCATTTTGATGATACATCTGATGGACTCCCCCTTTGAGCATGTAATCAAAAGCTTTGAAAATGGTATTCTGTGGGTAATGAATTTCTCCAGTTCCAGCTCCTACAGTAAGTATTAACACATTAACAATGCAAATAACATATCATTCTGCAATACTAGTTAATCCTCCTACAATAATGCGGTTTTTGATGTCAACTGGATTAAGGATGATACACAGATCCTCACTGCTTCTGGTGATCAAACTGTCAAGGTATGGGATGTTCAAGAACAGAAGTGTCTTGGAGTGTTAGTGGGGCATTTGGGGAGTGTGAAATCTATTTGTTCTCACCCAACTAATCCTGATATTCTTGTCTCTGGTTCAAGAGATGGATCCTTCCGTCTTTGGGACTTAAGATGTAACTTCACTGTGAAGAATAGACGTGGAGAATGTAGCATAAGTTAGATAGCTGATGTCAAAGGAGCACACGATCCATCTCAAGCACAGCGAGTAAGGAGGTGCAAATCTAAGGGTGCTTCCATGAGTATTACATTTGTTCTTTGGCTCAAGGATCAAGTTTCCATAGCCACTTATGGTGCAGCGGATAGTGTGCTGAAGTTTTGGGATACCAGAAACTTAAAAAGTATTGTCACCCAGACATGTCCTCAACCGCAGTCAACAGGAAAGCAAATATTACATGGTATTTCTAGCTTGTCCCAAGATGACAGTGGAGTTTTACTCTCAGCTTCCCAACCAAAGTCATAATTCATAAACCAACTACCCATAACTAACTCAACAAACTTCAAGCAGAATACAACTGACTTGCAACAGAAAATAACATAACAAACTTCTAACTGTAACCAACTTTTTTTCCCCACCTCCTAACCTCTCAACAGATTTCTAACCCTCCTCTAACTAACTTCTAACCAACTGTAACTGTATCTACCCTTAACCAACTTCCAATTGTCAAAACCAAACTAACAGAATTCACAACCGCCTAACCAATTTTCCAATTAACCATAACAGAATTTCAGTTACAACTAACTCATTCATATTTAGAGGGCATGATTCAGAAATGATTTCAGTCTCAAATCCACAATCATTGATTCATCAAAAAAGTCAGAGGAAAAGAAGGATTTAGAAAACTCACCAAGAAAGCTGGAACTCTCTCCTTTCTTTGCTTCTTCCCTGCAACATCACCATCCTCTCATAGTGATTCTCTCTCAAATCCCTCACCCTGAACCTCTTCATCAATTTACTTCCTCTCTCGGCAACAAACCCCTTCAACGTTCTCCGCATGCAACAACAACAACTTCTCATTATCAAACAGAAGCAACTGCAGAGAAGAAAGAATGAAAACATGATAGGAAAAGAAGAAGTATAAACGAGATGGAGAAGAGCTACGAGAAGCAATGCAGAGAAAGGGCGGCACCTGATTCACCTCTGAAACCTAAATTTCATTCTCAGGAGGAGTTGCTGAGATCTGAGGCTAGATTTGTGTTCACGGACCGAGATAGGTAGGGTTCATGTTCATCTTGTGGCGGTTTGATGGAGGCCTCTGGCGGTGAAGATGACATCGAATTCGTCAGAGTTTCGTGAGAAGAAGAGAGAGTTTGTAAATTCGAACCATCACATTCTGGACCTAATCTACAAAACGCGTGTGTTTCTTCTCTTTTTTACTTTTTGATTGTTATAATTTGGTAATGGAAAATATGACAAATCAGGTAAGTGATGAAATTGGGAATTAGGATTTATTTCGGTTATTGGATCAACAAAAGGGAAATTGGACCGAGTTCCCTCATGATTTGGACCACTGAGTTTTTGATAATATAAGGTGCTCACAAAAATCTTGTTCGTGGACTAATTAGTTGGGCCTCCGCGCTACTAGTGCTTGCTATACAACACTTCTTCTCTTGCTTGCACCCACATGGCTTACTTTATTGTATTTTGTATATTTTTTAATTGTTTCGATTTTATTTTTTCATTTCTTCACAAGATAAAAATAATCAAATCAATAAAATTTGTTAGATTTTTTTATTTGATTTCGGGAATTATATCAGGATTATCCGATTACTTGAGATTTGTAGTTCACCTTTTCTTGTTGAGATCTGAGCCCTATGCAGGTTTATTGGGTGATATGCGGATATGCTTGAGATTCCAATTATGATTTATTTTCACATAGATAATTCTTCGATGCTTACTCTGAGCATTTGATTTATGAATCTTCTCTGTTTCTTGGTGAAGCTTGCTCGAAGTTTTCTGGGTTTCTCTACATTGCCTGCTATGATACGAACTATTATTCGTATGCCAAGTTTTTGTGATATTCGCAATATGGAATGCTCGGGGTTAATTCTTCAATCACTTGTCCGAAGGAACTTTGATAGAATTTCCTTACCGCTTGCACAATTTTGAAGAGGCAACGGACCTTCTCCGTTCGGTATCGTCATAACTCTATTTTATCCTTTATTTCAGTACTTTATCGCAAACCATATGCGTGCTGACATTAGGTAGAATTCCCTCATTCATTCTAACTTTAGGTCTAACGCATAATAACATCAGGTTTAGAAGTAAGTTAGTCCCATTTGACTTTCCTTTCTCTTTGAACATACGCACCTAAAACTAAAACTTCTTTTTCTTTCAAAATTCAAAATACTTTAAAACTATTGATTTGAATCATGCTTTTGCTTAGCACGAGAAATGATAAGCGGGTCTCTTCTCGACCTTATTGTTCTTCATCTCAAGCATAGGTGTGGTTCACTTCTCAAAGACTCCTTTCATGACTAAGTAGAAAAATGGCTAAATATCTCTCTCTTGAGGTCGACTAGTCATTATCTACAACAAAATTACAAGACAAATTCAAATCTTTTATGCGCTCGAGCACCATTTCTTTTAAACCATTTCAGGTAAGGACATGATTAATTTACTTCTGTGCTAACGCATAAGCCTCCAAAGGTCGAGCTGCGGCAGAAGGCAGAATTAACTTCGTCCATAAAAAACACAAACAAACAAAAAATGTGAGCCAAACTACGGTAGCTCTGATTCCTCAAAAAGGATACGTAGGCATTGGGGTAGGGCCCAGGCGAGCACAATTTTATTTTCCCTACATTCTTTTCCCTTCTCTTTTGCATGCATTCTCCTTCAGTAGTATAGTAGACAGTAAGCTTAGATTAAACACACCCATAAGATAGATAACAAGAGTGGATACCATAGAGTACTACGGGCGCGTGGGGTGCTAATACCTTCCCCTCGTGTAACAGACTCCCTTACCCGATCTCTCGGTCGCAAGACCGTGACTTCTCCCTTCCTCAGGTTTTCTCGATGTTTACCTTTCCCTACATGTGGGATAAAAGACGTTCGATGGCGACTTCATTGTTTGATGATTTTCAGCCGGTTGTTTCACCGAGCAATGAGGGTTATGCACTCTAGAAGGGAAAAGCATTTCATATCCTGGATCACTTCATGGTACAAAGAAGGGAGGACACATGATTCCACCCTCACAATGGATTTAGGGTCAAGAGTCCAGAAATAAGGGAATAATGGCTCACCTCTCAATCCCATCATGAAGGGGGATGCATGGTATGCACCTCTTAATCGAGCAAATTTGTTTTTCCAATCTTCATAAGGATTGACGAAGGGCTTTAGAAAATGCATCTTTATGAAAGGATCTAAAGTCACCCAACCACTATCGGGAAGAGACTATGTTCAGAAAAATACAAAAGCACCCTAAAAGAGGGTGACACCTCTAGGTAAAGACACAATATATGAAAGGCCATGACTATTACCCAGATGTTTGGGGTAATATGAGAGGGTGCCATGTTGATAGAGGTTAAAAACTTTTCTTTGAAGGAAGTGATATGAACCAGAACCCCTAAATCATAGATAATGGGAAGGTAAATATAGAAATAAAGAGTAGACTAGTCACCAAAAGTATCCATATTAGATCATTAATCACTTGAATAATTCTCTATAAGCACATCTCTCTTGTGACCAGTGCTTGAAAAACTAATACCATGGTGAAATTTGTTGATCATGTTCGCACTAGAATACAAGGATAATATGTCTCGTACATGCATAAAAGTCATATTCCTCGCCATAGTAAATGAGAATAACAACCCAAACGCAAGAATTCTAAAGAAAAAAAGTAATAAAGAATTTAGCAGTACTTTCGAAAGTATACATATAAAGTCCGAAAGAAACAGATCTGCATGATCCCCTAATAGGCTGACTCCAAATACATGAAATTCCACACGCATGAGACCTAAGTGTAAACATGGTAGACTGATTCGTCTTCTCGAGGAATATCATCATGAGGTGCATTAAATGCCATCCATGCCTCTTCCTTTCTAACATTCAACCTAGCTAAATCAGTTGACGTAAAATCAATGTTGACATGTTTCCACATGCTTGTTAACACGCCTAAGCCACGTAGGAACCTATGAATTTTCTATTCCGTACTAAGGGACTCTTCTGCTACTTTAATTGCCACACACTAAGGGAATCACCATAAAGGGGGACACCTATCAATGTCATCCTCAGTCATAGGAATCATCAACAGTCCTATTTTGTAATGTCCAACGTGCTTGAGGGACTTTGTAATGTCCTATTTTGCAAAAGTCCTAGACTAGGGTGCCCATCACCTAGCAAATGGGTCGCCTGGATGAAACCCTTTGTAACTACTCACACGGTCCTCCTGACGTGGAAATTAGAAAAGAGAAAGTCCTTGTTAACTCCACAAATATACTTAGACCATGATCACCTTAATAAAAGGGAGCCGTTAAGACCATATCCAGGAGGTCGTAAACCCTAATTCTGGGAGAACTCTTATAAATAGACTATCCCTCAGAGAGGATAAAGGACAACTCTCAAGTAACACTCACTTAGACACATCCAAACGTCACTCAGAGAGCATTCTGCTCTGAGTAACCTTAGCAACATCACTCTGACCGCCCTCCTGTAACCTAGCAGCACCGACCAACAATAGGGCCTCTCACCTGACGTGAGTCAGTTCCCTAAAAAGCCACCATACATGGCTACTCATTGCTATGAGCTAGCAACGATCAAGTTCATGTAATATACCTTTTAGGATCTCCGAGTCTTCTTTCTCTTGTAGGGGAACATGTACATACTTGTACTATTTTTAGACAGTACGAAACTAGTGCAAGGATCTTTGACATATCATATGGAATAGGAGTCACAAACAAAGGTAGAAATCAAGAGTCATCTTTCTCATAAGAAAATAATGGCTTCAATACGTTACTTAGCATATAATATAATATCAGACTTAGAAAGTTTAGAAGGAGGATAAATCATTCTCTCTTTAGTGTTATTCGGCACATTCCTCGTGTTTTGAGAGTTAAGGGACACTACTAGGAAATTGCATTTTAACTTCAAGTTTTTAGCATTAGACCATTTATGTTTCTAGTAACATCTATTTAGCATCTAATAAATCTAACACAACCTTTTTTTTTGTAATTAATGTTTCTACTCATTTTATAATTTTTATAAATAAAAAAGCATAATCGAGTCCATAATTGATTATGAAAGTCTCTTAATGATTGGTAACGACTTTATATCTAAAACTTTCATTTAGGACAACAATAATCGATTATTTGTATTACCTAATCAATTAGTTCATTTATTTGGCACATGGGTAATTTCCAAATTTATATAATTTCTTGGTCTATAAATAGAAAGCTTCTTAATCATTTCAAATCATCTAGAAAATGTGAAAACTCTCACTTTTCATTTCTCTCACCACCTCTCTAAATTATTATTGTTTTTCTCACATTTTTAGCCATACTGCTTTGAGAGTGTTCTTGAGTCTCAGTGAGAATATTCTTTTAGGTGAGGGCATTATTGTAAATTTACCTAGAGTAAATTATTTTCTCTTCAAGAAATTATTCTTCTTTAGGAAGTAATTATTTTTGTTGGGAGTTAAACCATTAGAAAAGCTATAATTTGTATTTGGGAGATCTGTCAAAGTCTTTGTTTGGTTCTTGAGCTCCGCCATTAAAGAAAAGCTCTCTTTTGAGTTCATAAAGATCAAGCACTAAAAATATTCACAACGGTTCCTGACCTCAGTCTGGTTAAAAACTCTATTGATTCGAGATCTTCCTGGTGTAAAATCTCACTCGATTTCTAAGTTCAGCTCGATTAAAAGCTCCGTAGGTTTGAGATCAGTCTAGTAAAAATTTCGATTCGGTTCATGGTTAGCCCGTATAAACCTTGGTTTATTTCAGAGCATAGTCAACTCAAAACTCCATCTTGGTTCGAGATCAACCTGTGTAAAATCTATGTTGGATTAAAGATTAACCACTTTAAGCTTATCCGTTGTTTGGTTTGAACATTAACCGCTTCAATTATCTATTCGTTGTTTGGATAAAAGTTATCTTGAAAACTCCATTTCTTTGTATAAGGGAGTTTGTGGACTTAACCTTCTAAAAGCTCTCAAGCAATAGTGGATACTCTCAAGATCAACTCTTGGAGAGAGAAGTAAGTCACTTCATTAGACCTAACATCTATAATTCTCTAGTGTTATTTTCTCTTCCCTTAAGTCTTTTACTTTCCACTTAATTTA